GTAAACCGGAGCCCGCCAGTTGAGTGAACCGGAGCCCGCCAGTTGAGTGAACTGGAACCCGTCAGTTGAGTACCTGGAGCCCGCCCGAGCCCTACCGAGAACCCACCCTGAGCCCGACCAAGAACCTACCCCGAGCCCTACAGAGGTTCCCCAAGCCGAGAGCCTATCCCGATCCCGAAAGAGCCCACCCCGAGAGCTGACCGGGAGCCAACCCCAAACCCTACCAAGAACCCACCCCCAAGCCCTACCAAGAACCCAGCCCCAAGCCCTACCAAGAACCCACCCCCAAGCCCTACCAAGAACCCACCCCAAGCCCTACCAAGAACCCACCCCCAAGCCCTACCAAGACCCACCCCAAGCCCTACCAAGAACACCACCCCCAAGCCCTACCAAGAACCCAGCCCAATACCTACCAAGAACCCACCCGAAGCTGGACAGACACCCACCTGGAGCCCGAACAGTCACCCACCCGGAGCCCGACCAGTCAAACACCCGGAGCCCGCCAGTTTAGTAAACCGGAGCCCGCCAGTTGAGTGAACCGGAGCCCGCCAGTTGAGTGAACTGGAACCGTCAGTTGAGTACCTGGAGCCCGCCCCGAGCCCTACCGAGAACCCACCCTGAGCCCGACCAAGAACCTACCCCGAGCCCTACAGAGGTTCCCCAAGCCCGAGAGCCTATCCCGATCCCGAAAGAGCCCACCCCGAGCCCTACCGAGAACCCACCCCCCAAGCCCTACCGAGAACCCACCCCCAAGCCCTACCAAAACCCACCCCCAAGCCCTACCAAGAACCCAGCCCTAATACCCTACCAAGAACCCACCCAAGCCCTACCAAGAACCCACCCGAAGCTGGACAGACACCCACCTGGAGCCCGAAACAGTCACCCACCCGGAGCCCGACCAGTCAAACACCCGGAGCCCGCCAGTTTAGTAAAACGGAGCCCGCCAGTTGAGTGAACCGGAGCCCGCCAGTTGAGTGAACTGGAACCCGTCAGTTGAGTACCTGGAGCCCGCCCCGAGCCCTACCGAGAACCCACCCTGAGCCCGATCAAGAACCTACCCCGAGCCCTACAGAGGTTCCCCAAGCCCGAGAGCCTATCCTGATCCCGAAAGAGCCCACCCCGACCCTACCGAGAACCCCCCCCCCAAGCCCTACCGAGAACCCACCCCCCCAAGCCCTACCGAGAACCCACCCCCCAAGCCCTACCGAGAACCCACCCCCCAAGCCCTACCGAGAACCCACCCCCCAAGCCCTACCGAGACCCACCCCCAAGCCCTACCGAGAACCCCCACCCCCAAGCCCTAGCGAGAACCCCCCCCAAGCCCTACCAAGAACCCCCCCCCCCCAAGCCCTACCGAGAACCCACCCCCCAAGCCCTACCGAGAACCCCCCCCCCCAAGCCCTACCGAGAACCCACCCCCCAAGCCCTACCGAGAACCCACCCCCCCAAGCCCTACAGAGAACCCACTCCCCCAAGCCCTACCAAGAACCCACTCCCCCAAGCCCTACCGAGAACCCACCCCCCCAAACCCTACCGAGAACCCACCCCCCAAGCCCTACCGAGAACCCAGCCCAAAGCCCTACCGAGAACCCAGCCCAAAGCCCTGCCGAGAACCCAGCCCCAATACCTACCAAGAACCCACCCCAAGCCCTACCAAGGACCAACCCGAAGCCGGACAGACACCCACCTGGAGCCCGAACAGTCACCCACCCGGAGCCCGACCAGTCAAACACCCGGAGCCCGCCAGTTTAGTAAACCGGAGCCCGCCAGTTGAGTGAACCGGAGCCCGCCAGTTGAGTGAACTGGAACCCGTCAGTTGAGTACCTGGAGCCTGCCCCGAGCCCTACCAAGAACCCACCCTGAGCCCGACCAAGAACCTACCCGAGCCCTACAGAGGTTCCCCTAGCCCGAGAGCCTATCCCGATCCCGAAAGAGCCCACCCCGAGCCCTACCGAGAACCCACCCCCAAGCCCTACCAAGAACCCACCCCCCAAGCCCTACCGAGAACCCACCCCCCCAAGCCCTACCGAGAACCCACCCCCCAAGCCCTACCGAGAGAACCCACCCCCCCAAGCCCTACCGAGAACCCACCCCCCCCCAAGCCCTACCGAGAACCCACCCCCCAAGCCCTACCGAGAACCCACCCCCCAAGCCCTACCGAGAACCCACTACCGAGAACCCACCCCCCCCCAAGCCCTACCGAGAACCCAGCCCCCCCCCCAAGCCCTACCGAGAACCCACCCCCCCAAACCCTACCGAGAACCCACCCCCCAAGCCCTACCGAGAACCCAGCCCAAAGCCCTACCGAGAACCCAGCCCAAAGCCCTACCGAGAACCCAGCCCCAATACCTACCAAGAACCCACCCCAAGCCCTACCAAGGACCAACCCGAAGCCGGACAGACACCCACCTGGAGCCCGAACAGTCACCCACCCGGAGCCCGACCAGTCAAACACCCGGAGCCCGCCAGTTTAGTAAACCGGAGCCCGCCAGTTGAGTGAACCGGAGCCCGCCAGTTGAGTGAACTGGAACCCGTCAGTTGAGTACCTGGAGCCTGCCCCGAGCCCTACCGAGAACCCACCCTGAGCCCGACCATGAACCTACCCCGAGCCCTACAGAGGTTCCCCTAGCCCGAGAGCCTATCCCGATCCCGAAAGAGCCCACCCCGAGCCCTACCGAGAACCCCCCCCCAAGCCCTACCGAGAACCCATCCCCCCAAGCCCTACCGAGAACTCAGCCCCAAGCCCTACCGAGAACCCACCCCAAGCCCTACCGAGAACCCAGAACCAAGCCCTACCAAGAACCCAGCCCCAAGCCCTACCAAGAACCCAGCCCCGAGCCATACAGAACCCCCGCCAAGTGAACCCCAACCCCCCTGAGCCCTACCAAGAACCCACGCCCCCCCGAGCCCTACCAAGAACCCACACCCCCCGAGCCCTACCAAGAGAGAACACACCCCCCCCGAGACCTACCAAGAACCCACACCTCCCCGAGCCCTACCAAGAACCCACACCCCCCCCGAGCCCTACCAAGAACCACACCCCCCCCCGAGCCCTACCAAGAACCCACACCCCCCCGAGCCCTACCAAGAACCCCCCCCCCCCCCCCCAAGCCCTACCAAGAACCCACACCCCCCCAAGCCCTACCAAGAACCCACACCCCCCAAGCCCTACCAAGAACCCACACCCCCCCAAGCCCTACCAAGAACCCACACCCCCCCAAGCCCTACCGAGAACCTACACCCCCCCAAGCCCTACCGAGAACCCCACCCCCCCCAAGCCCTACCGAGAACCCACACCCCCCCAAGCCCTACCGAGAACCCACACCCCCCCAAGCCCTACCGAGAACCCACACCCCCCCAAGCCCTACCGAGAACCCCACACCCCCCCCCCAAGCCCTACCGAGAACCCACCCCCCCAAGCCCTACCGAGAACCCACCCCCCCAAGCCCTACCGAGAACCCACCCCCCCAAGCCCTACCGAGAACCCACCCCCCAAGCCCTACCGAGAACCCACCCCCCAAGCCCTACCGAGAACCCACCCCCCAAGCCCTACCGAGAACCCACCCCCCAAGCCCTACCGAGAACCCACCCCCCAAGCCCTACCGAGAACCCAGCCCCAAGCCCTTACCGAGAACCCAGCCCCAAGCCTTACCGAGAACCCAGCCCCAATACCTACCAAGAACCCACCCCAAGCCCTACCAAGAACCCACCCGAAGCCGGACAGACACCCACCTGGAGCCCGAACAGTCACCCACCCGGAGCCCGACCAGTCAAACACCCGGAGCCCGCCAGTTTAGTAAACCGGAGCCCGCCAGTTGAGTGAACCGGAGCCCGCCAGTTGAGTGAACTGGAACCCGTCAGTTGAGTACCTGGAGCCCGCCCCGAGCCCTACCGAAAACCCACCCTGACCCGACCAAGAACCTACCCCGAGCCCTACAGAGGTTCCCCAAGCCCGAGAGCCTATCCCGATCCCGAAAGAGCCCACCCCGAGCCTGACCGGGAGCCAACCCCAAACCCTACCAAGAACCCACCCCCAAGCCCTACCAAGAACCCACCCCCAAGCCCTACCAAGAACCCACCCCCAAGCCCTACCAAGAACCCACCCCCAAGCCCTACCAAGAACCCAGCCCTAATACCTACCAAGAACCCACCCGAAGCTGGACAGACACCCACCTGGAGCCCGAACAGTCACCCACCCGGAGCCCGACCAGTCAAACACCCGGAGCCCGCCAGTTTAGTAAACCGGAGCCCGCCAGTTGAGTGAACCGGAGCCCGCCAGTTGAGTGAACTGGAACCCGTCAGTTGAGTACCTGGAGCCCGCCCCGAGCCCTACCGAGAACCCACCCTGAGCCCGACCAAGAACCTACCCCGAGCCCTACAGAGGTTCCCCAAGCCCGAGAGCCTATCCCGATCCCGAAAGAGCCCACCCCGAGCCCTACCGAGAACCCACCCCCCAAGCCCTACCGAGAACCCACCCCCCAAGCCCTACCAAAACCCACCCCCAAGCCCTACCAAGAACCC